ATAGCTCTACCCCCTGAACATACCCAAGCTCTACTTGTCTCCAATGCTAAGCATGACTAGGCCTGCCTCATAGTCTGATGGGGAGCATCCCAGTGGTGGGTGGGTTTCTATTGCCAGGACAGCACCCAGGCTGTGTACATTTGCACTGGCCTGGCTTTCAGAAAGCAGTAGCCCTACCAACCAAATACTTAAGAGTGTATAGGTTTGCCTGAGTCCTGTGCTTAGTCCAGGCGTTTGCTGTATGACCTTGATCTTATACTTGACTTTCTGAGCTTCCTGCTTCTCCCTTGTAACAAAAGCTTGCTCCCTGTGTTGGTTGTCTGTGGTCTGCTGATGTACAGTCCTGCACCATCGCTGGAGAGCTCATGTCTGTGGAGGACAGCTACTCCAATACCCTTGACAGAGCATGCTCCTTCTGTATCAGGGTCCTCAACCTTCCTAATACTGCACTCCTCATGTTGTGGTGACACCCCAACCATAAAATCATTTCCGTTGCTACTCCATATTTAGTACCATAATGAATCAATTATAAAACTCTGCTGTGCAGAATATCTACCATGTGAGGCAGTGAAGGGTGGATCAACTCCTCCTGAATGGGAATCAACCCACAGCTTGAGGACTGCTGTTCTGTGTATACTGAGGAAGAAGCTTCTAGAAGGATCCATGTGTACTCTTAAGAGATGGAGGAGATATGCTGCTACCCAACCACATTAGACAAACCAACCCCTGGAGTCAGTAGAGTGCTATATGTCATAGACAGATCACATTATCTCCAAGGAGTGGTGATATCTGTAAAGCCAGTCCTGTTGCAAAAGTGACTATTTCGGGGTGGAGGGTTCAAGACAGAGTCTCACTGTGTTGCAGTTGTTCTGGAACCCTGTGTAGACCAGGCTGGCCTCAAACTCACAGAGATCCATCTGCCTCTGCCTCCCAAGTGCTGGCATGAAAGGCGTGCCACCAATACCTGCCGTTGCCCTCAAATTTCTTTGATCATAGCCACTATCAGAAAGTACCAACTATTCTGGGGACAGTGTTCCCCTGTAAGATAAACCTTCTGGTAAATACTGCAAGACCCTTGTCCTCCCAGAGATGGGTCTCTTATTTGATGACAGATGCAATCTGTTGGACAGATGTAATCAGTCATCGCAGGAGAGACACTTAATAGGAGCCAGATTTTTACCAAATGGATGATGAGGAAGGAGAGCCACGAGAAGTTTATGAGAGTAAAGACTCAAAGTCGTCTCAGGGACAGTGGCCTGAATTGTGTCCCCATCCATACATGGGGGTCCTGGCTCTATGTCCCTTAGAAAGCAAATGCATTTGCACAGAGGGTCTTTGAGGAAATCATTAGGACAAATGAGGTCATTTGACCAGGCCTATGGTTGGTGTCCTGGTGGAAGAGGGAACTGGGACAAAGACTCAGTGAGATGGCCATGGGGAAGTCATAGAGAAAACAGCATGTATGAATAAGGAGACAGTCCTCAGGGGATACTGGCCCTGCCCATACCCTGCTGTCATCTTTCTGGCTGCAATAGGATTGTTGGAAAATGAAAATTAAGCTAGTCATTTTTGGCCCTCAGTCTGTTGTGTCACTGAGTCTCTGGGGCACCAGCCAGATTACCCAGGTTCCTGTTTCAGGACAGAGAATTGGACCAGAGACCCACGATTAGAAATAAAGACAGTTAATCAAGAAATGGAAGGCACTCTTGGGGGTGGGGGTGGGCCTAGAGAGCTCCCCAAAGCCCTGGTTCTCGGTGGCATGGCCCTTTTAGGACATTTCCATAACATCCGATTCTCCCAGGTTTGTGTACCCAGGGTGATTCTAGGGGGAAGTTTGTGTCCCAAGAGGAAGCCTGTGGGAGGGGCTTCCGCACTTCTTTGCCAAGGGGCTGCTTTCCTGTGGATTCAATGCCTCCAACTCTAGTCCCTGCTCTGCTGTCACAAGTCTGTGGTCCATAGTAGGACAGTCCTAGGAAACTACTTCAGAGTATGGATCATGGCTTCCAGAGAACCAGCAGACTGTGAGGCAGCTGAGGCATGGACCAGTGCCCTGGATGAAGGGATGTGAGATGCTTTGGATACAACATCCCTTGTTGCTATGTGCTACTGAGGTGGGAGCTTCTCAGACATCGTGGGAGCAAGGAGATGGATAAATTCCGGCAGACTCAGGCCTCCAGGGGTGGGCACAGGAGACTCCCAGTTGAGTCTGCTGGTTTTTAACAAATGGTTTGTGGGATGGACATGAGGTTTCGCAGAGAGGAACCCAAAAGGGCCACCTGAGACTTTATAAAAATTAAACATAAAACAAACCACGGAGAAGTACAGGGACTGTACTGGGTTCTTCCAATTGTCCTGGTATCTGGAAAGTAATTCAGAAGGGGCATGAAGACTGTGTTTGCAGAGGGGTGTTTGGGGCTCAGCGCTTGAAGGGATGGTGAGGATGGAACCTGTCAAGAGATCTGCACACTGTATTCAGGGGAGAAAACCACAAAAGGTCTATCCCCATTTCCCATTGTCCTCCTACTCTGACTATCTTGTTTCCAGGGCTTTTTAAATTTTACTTCTGTTGGTTTTCTTCCTTCTTGCTATGCAGAAAATTTTCATTTTTTAATATACTCAGTCAGAGGTTTCACATGTTTGCTGTTTGTGGTCTATGTTTAATGTTGTTGGAAAGGGTTTTTCTGTAATTTGGGGTTTCAGTTTTCACAATGCATTGTCATTTCCTTTATTTAGCTCATTAGTCCATCTGGGATTAAATTCCCATGAAAATGTAATAAAATAACCAAATAGACAAAATTTGTAAATTTCTAGCTAGCCAGTTGTTTACTTTTGTTAAGCAGGATCTCAATATGCGGGTAGACTTGGTGGACCAGAACCTCACTGTGTGGAACAGGCATTGGCATCAAACTTCAGAGAGAGAAACACCTATTTCTCTCTCTGGAATGGTAGGATTAAAAACTAGCCAGTTGCTACAAATTATATATTGCATATAGTTACCTTTACTGACACTTTAAAATGCCACCTCAATTGTATGAGAGAAACAAAATATTACCTTTATCCTCTTAAGCCTTTGTGGCCTCCAGGAGAATTCAGTTGACACAGAATACATTAATAAAACAAAAGCATATGCATGTATTTAATATAAGTCTCCAGTGAGGCAGGAGCCACCATAAGGAAACAGAGAGCCAAAGAAACAGAGGTCACTACTTAAAGTAGGACTGAGAATTGGACATGGTGGAAACGTGACCAGCCAGGTGTCTGTGCAGGGACAATTGATGACAGAGGACACTCATAAAATGGAGACTTGTGCAGATTCCTCTCACCCTGTGGTCTGCATTAATGGTGAAATGTCCTTCATGGGACCATGTGAACACACTCAGCCTGCAGTGAAGTTTTTTTACAAGACCGTGCAACCATTAGAAGGCAGAGCCCAGCACATAAGGGGTTTGCTGGATGTCAGAATGACGTAGTGTCAAGAGGCCAGACTGCTTCTGCTCTGATCTGTTTGCTTCCTGATCACCAATAAGTGAACAGCAACCTCACGTTCCTGCTACCACACAGCCATGCATCCCCATGCCTTCTCACCATGATGGAATTTATTCCCTCAAACCATAAGTCCGAATAACATTGTGTTTCCTTTTTCTTGGCATGTATTTTGTTCAGTAATTAGTTAATAGTAAGCCTGGATTTCACATCCCTGGTGTTAATAGTATTACCTTACTTCTGGGGTAGGGCCAGCATCTTCCCTGTCGGGTTCAGTAAGAAAGAAGATATGGAAGGTCTTGTACACATTGCCGGTCAGGGTCTTTAGCATAGACTAATCTTTATGTCCATGTGGTGCATGTTGGACTCAGTGTTCTCCTACCCTTCATTTGTGAGTCCCATCCCTGTGTTTCCAGCCTCTCCTGTGCCTTGCTACCCAGACCTGTAGCAGCCTCTGGCTGGGGCATTGACTGCGGTGAATAACTGCATCATGTCCCAGAATTCTCCTGTGCCCTCAAGCTCTTCCCACCCAGAATTCTCTCACCCTTTCTCACCACGCACTTCTCACATTGATTTCTGGGTCAGATCATGTAGGTAGATCTGGTTTGGTTTTGATGTATTTATACATTACTTTGGAATATATTTCCATATATTACCTTAAAGGTGTGAACAAGTATCTCAAGCTAGTACACTAAGTCTGAGGGCAACGTCTCTGTTACAATCCATCTCAATTTGAGATATGAAGAAGCTGAGGTATAACAGTGACCTGCAGAGTTCACGGGACTAGTGTGCAGCACACCCTGTCTTTCTGTATATGACTTGTTTGTGAGCCCTTACTAATGTTTAAAAATCTGATTCACTGAGCATTTTAAGTGACTTTCCATTGGCTTTCTTTTTGATTACATACAAGGAAAACTTGGGTATTAACACCTTGGATTATTATGAATATTTACCTTGCTATATTCCCTTGTAAGTTCAATGGTATTTGAGGTTGTTTTCCTCACAATAAAGCACATGGCCTTCACTCTGCAGTAGATTTTTTTCTACAATTACCAAATCATATTTGTGCTCAAAATATCTCTTAATCCTAACCATCAGGAATTATGTGGTGATGTGTTATATATGATTTATTAAAGCTTACCTGAGGATTCAGAAAGCAAAGCCAGCCTCAAGCTATGGAGATCAGACAGTGGTGATACACACCTTTATTCCCCAAAGCCATAGAGCTAGGAGGTGATGCTATCCACCTTTAATACTAGGACTCAGGATGAAGATGTCAAAGGATCCTTGTGAGCCCAAGGTCACCCAGATCTACACAAGATTGATCCAGCCCTAAAGAGTACAGCTCACGCCAAGATGATGTCAGTACCTGGGATCACACACCTTTATTCCCAGCACTAGAAGGTTATAAAAGATAGGAGCAGGGTCTTTAGTAGTAAGTATCAGATTTCTTTCCAGTGACATCAACAAGACATTGGTATTAAAGTCTCAGGATTCTCCAGTCAGGCTGAGGAGAGGCAGCTGTCTGAGGTTTACTGGAGCCAGGATCATCTTTCAGCCTGAGGTAGAATGAGAGCTCGTGCCCAGCTGCTTTGCTTTTCTCAAGTTCACCTTGAAGCTTGAACACCAATGTAAGTCCCTGGGTCTGTTATTTTTCATGAACAAAGGAAGTGGGGCTTAGCTACCTGTCTCTATCCTCTGAACATTTTCCTGTTTGACTGGATTCATCTCACTGGGAGAATGAGGCACACCTCTGGGGTGATTATGAGGATATAAGGTTTTTGGGTGGAACACCAATGTAGGGATGCCATCGCCTGTGTTGTGACAAGAAGTCTGAGTAAAAGAGTGGGAAAAAGAGAACCAGTGTGACTTCTTTCTCAATTCCCCGGTCCATCATACTATGAACCAAAGTGCTTTTCACCTGCCCAAACAATTCTTACTATTTCTAAAGTCATTCCCACCAGGCATTTTGGTCACAGCGAGAACTAATGCAGACATCCAATTCTTCTGTCCCAGCTCTTCCTTTGCTAGGTCTTTTTTATTGTAGTAGATGCCATTCTCTTTAGCATATGCCTAGGTTTGTCCCTCTGTGATAGACAGTGTCAAGCCTATTTTCTCCAAGTCCAGTCTTGAATGCACTACTCTCCAGCAGTGTCAGTGTTCCAGGTTCTTCCCGAAGGGCTATTTAGTCATAGAACACCCCATGGTGGGGTAACACCATCACATGAACAGGACATCAAGGAAGGAGGAGCCTGTAGCAAGGGAAATCCATTCATGGATGAACAGAAAGCAAACGTGTGGGATGCTGGGTATCAGCTATCTTTCTCCTCCCCCCATTTTTATCCCATCCCCACCTGCAGCTCATGGGGAGGATGGCACCCACAGTCAGTGAGGGACTTCTCTTCAGGTCTCTTTGAAAACACACTCAAGACACACCTTGGCATGCCTCAATAACAATCTAAGAGATTGTGAACCTAGTCATGTTGACCACAAGGATACCCAGGAGAGTTTCCTAGAAACCATGTCCCAGATGAACTCAGCATCTCACAGGACAGGGCAGTATTGGGCTTCAGGGCTTGGCCACTCCTGCATGGTACCCTTAGGACTCTGAGCACCTTCCCTATGCTGACCTCTTTGGTGAAAGCAATCTCAACTCCCAAACCCAGATATGAGGCAATGTCTGGAGACATCTTATGTCCAGGGAACAGATGTCAGGGATAGATGCTGCTGTTCACCTGTGTGCTCACCCAGGACATCCCAAGATGATGCAGGAGCTGACCCAAAGGCTTTGGTGCCCACTTCAGGAACCCTGATCCAGGTAGTGCCCCTGCAGAACAGTCACAAGGCAGCCCTGTGAGGGCAGCACACTGTGCCCTGAAAACTGGCTCTGTGTGTCCTTTTCTTTTTTGAGAAGCTCAGGCCAGATTCTTTTCATCCCACTCAGAGCATGGGGACACCTGTGCCTGTCACAACTGCCCCCTCACCTTCCTCTCATGCTTCCCTTCCTTCCTTTTTCTCTCGGCAGGGTCTCATGTAGCCCAGGTTGTCCTCAGACCCAATTGTAGTTGAGGATGACCCTGAATTCCTGGTCCTCCTGCCTCAGCTCCTCTAGTGCTGGGATTACATCACCATGCCCAGTTCTCTGTGGGGCTGGAGATCTAACACAGAACCTAGCATGGGTTAGCCTAGCATTCCACCACCTGAGACCCCTAGCTGCTTGGAGACCCCTAGCCCCATGGCAGGCATTTACTGCTTCCTTTAGTCAACTTGACAGAGCCTTGAGTCATCTAAAAGGAGGGAGACTCAATTAAGAAAATGACTCTATGAGATTGGTTTGTAGGCAAGAATGTAGTACATATTCTAAATTAGGAATTGATGGGGAGGAGAGAACTCAGTCCACTGTAGGTGGGGCCAGCCAAGGGCAGGTTACCTGGGTTCCATAAAAAGTATAGGGACCAAGTCATGAAGATGTAGCCAGTAGGCATCACCCCTCCATGGACTCCGCTTCATTTCCTGCTTCCAGGTTCCTGCCTAGAGCTCCAGCCTGGCTTCTCTCAGCAATGGAGTGTGCCCTGTAAGCCTTTTCCTCTCCAACAAGAATTTTGGTCAGTCTTTTTGTGACATCCGTGTAAAGCAATTGGGGACAGTCCCTGAGCCAGAGAGAACCTTCAGTGGCACAACCTTCACAGTGGACACTCACCATCCGCCATCTTGAGTCTGGCTGGCCCACTGCAGGTTTGGGCTTGCTCTATCATCGTGTGTGCCAACTCCAATCTCAAATCCTCCTGCAGGCACACATGTCCCATTGGTTCTGTTTCTCTGAAGTATGCTCACTACTCAAAAGTTAGCCTCTACACTGAGCATTTCCAAATAAAATTAGAGTTGTCACACAACCACCTTATCCCAGCCACAAAGCATGAAGGGATTCTGATTTGCATAATTAGAATCTCTGAGTCTGTGTGGAAAGAACTAAGAAGTCCCCCATGGTGGAACTGACACCCCACATGTCTCTCTGAGTTCTAGGCTGTCTTTGATATCATTCTGTGGTTTTCTGTTGTCTAATTTTAGGGTTTTAGTGTCAGGCCCTTTAAAAGTTACATTTTAAAATTCTGTGTTATGTGTGCTTGCTGACAAGATGGATGTGGTCAGAATGAGAATGGCCCACAAAGACTTGTGCCTTTGATGTTGAAATGGACCAGCAACCAAACTCTGAGTGACGAAATGTCCTGAAGATGTCACACAGTGCTCCTGTAATGTTTGGGGGTCAACTTCCACTTTATGTTTTAGCACCTAGATATAGACAGACCAGGCCAGCGCAGAATTTATGTAAAAGCAGTAAGCTTAATTAGTTAAAAACAAGTTTGGGGTCCCTCTGGCATCATCAGGTAAACAGGCCAGCTTCCCGGCCTGTGTTCCAGAGCCTGCAGATCGCCTGGGAACTGCACAGAGCTCCCAATCCCGGCGGGAGCATCACATAAACAGGCCAGCTTCCCGGCCTGTGTTCCAGAGCCTGCAGATCGCCTGGGAACTGCACAGAGCTCCCAATCCCGGCGGAAGCCAAGCACCCCAGACTCCAGATCTTCTCTCCCACCAACGATTCCAGGAAAGGAGAGGAGGCTGGGAGTACAGGGAAGTAGCTGTCCCTCTGGCATCATCAGGTAAACAGGCCAGCTTCCCGGCCTGTGTTCCAGAGCCTGCAGATCGCCTGGGAACTGCACAGAGCTCCCAATCCCGGCGGGAGCCAAGCACCCCAGACTCCAGATCTTCTCTCCCACCAAAGAGACCAGGAAACTACAGGAGCCAGGGAGACCAGGGGAGTAGCTGTTCCAGATCAGGTACAACAGGACCCAGCATAGGGTCCAGGGGACCAGGTAGGAGGCTAAGCGCCCCAGATTCCTGTTCTTCTTCTCTACCCACGGACCAGCATTTGGACAAGGCATAGAAGAACCACCAGATTACTGGAATTACTAGCACCCACCAAAAGGGAACTCTGGTCCCCAGACCAGGAAGGGGCTCTTTCTGCACCCACTAAAAGAAGAGATGGGAAAGAGACAATACAAAAACACAGTCAGCAACAGAAAAACAAAATTGACACCACCAGATTCTAGAGACTCCACACCAGCAAGACCCCAATATTCCAACGCGAAGGAAGCAGAAGAGAACGACCTTAAAAGCACTTTCATGAAAATGATAGAGGCCCTAAAAGAGGATATTGGAAAATCCCTCAAAGAAATGGAAGAAAAAACAAGCCAAAAAATGCAAGAAATGGAAGAAAAAACAAACCAAAAAATGCAAGAATTGGAAGAAAAAACAAACCAAAAAAGGCACGAAATGGAAGAAGAAATGAAGCAAAAAATGCAAGAAATGGAAGAAAAAGCAAAGCAAAAAATGCAAGAATTAGAAGAAGAAACATACCAAATAAGGCAGGAAATGGAAGAAGAAACAAAGCAAAAATGCAAGAAATGGTAGAAAAAACAAAGCAAAAAATGAAAAAAATGGAGGAAGAAACAAACCAAAAAAGGCAGGAAATGGAAGAAGAAACAAAGCACAAAATCCAAGAAATGGAACAAAAAGCAAACCAAAAAATGCAAGAAATGGAAGAAAGAACAAACCAAAAAATTCATAAAAGGCAACAAACGGACGAACAGATAAACAGAAAATTGCAAGAAGAATTGCAAACGCTGCAAGGGTTGAAAACTGAAATAGAGACACTAAAAAAAACACAATCTGAAGAAAGGCAGAAAATAGAAAAGCTGGACAAACAGTCAGGCACTACCAATACAAGCATTACCAACAGAATAGAAGAGATGGAAGAGAGAATCTCAAGTGTTGAAGATACATTAGGAGAAATGGATTTATCAACCAAAGAAAACCTTAAATCCAACAAATCCTTAACACAAAACATCCAGGAATTATGGGACACCATGAAAAGACCAAACCTAAGAATAATAGGTATAGAAGAAGGAGAAGAAATCCAGCTCAAAGGGGCAGAAGGCATATTCAACAAAATCATAGAAGAAAACTTTCCCAACCTTAAGAAAGACATGCCAATGAAGGTACAAGAAGCCTACAGAACACCAAATAGAGTGGACCACAAAAAAAAATCCCTCGCCACATAATAATCAAGACCCCAAACATACAGAATAAAGAAAGAATATTAAGAGCAGCTAAGGAAAAAGGTCAAGTAACATATAAAGGCAGACCTATCAGAATTACACCTGATTTCTCCATGGAAACTCTGAAAGCCAGAAGGTCCTGGATAGATATTCTACCTACACTAAGAGACCATGGATGCCAGCCCAGACTACTATACCCGGCAAAGCTCTCAATCACTATAGACGGAGAAAACAAGATATTCCATGACAAAACTAGATTCAACCAATATGTGTCCACTAACCCAGCCCTACAGAAAATTTTGGAAGGAAAACTCCAACCCAAGGAAGCTAACTACAACCAGAAAAACATAAGCATTAGAGAATCCCTCTCTACCAACAGCCATAAGAACAAAGGGGCGAAATTCCACCCATAATTCCACCAACAACAACCATCGCAAATCGAAGGATGAGCAATCAATGGTCATTAATATCCCTCAATATTAACGGCCTTAACTCACCCATAAAAAGACACAGACTAGCAGAATGGATTCGAAGACAGAACCCTTCCTTCTGCTGCATACAAGAAACACACCTCACCCTCAAAGACAGACATTACTTGAGAGTTAAAGGTTGGGAAAAAATTTTTCAATCAAATGGACCCAAGAAACAAGCAGGGGTAGCAATCCTAATATCTAACAAACTAGACTTTAAAATAAAATCAATCAAAAGAGATGAAGGAGGTCATTACATACTCATCACAGGTGAAACCCACCAAGACGAAGTGTCTATCCTGAACATCTATGCCCCCAATACAAAGGCATCCACATTCGTTAAAGAAACATTATTAGAACTTAAATCTCATCTAAAGCCCCACACAGTTATAGTGGGAGATTTCAACACACCACTCTCACCACTAGACAAGAATACCAGACAGGAACTCAACAAAGAAGCAAAGGGTCTAATAGAAGTAATGACCCAACTGGGATTAACAGATATCTATAGAACATTTCATCCACATAAAAAAGAATATACCTTCTTCTCACCACCACATGGAACCTTCTCAAAAATCGACCACATACTTGGCAACATATCAAACCTCAGCAGCTACAAAAAAATTGGAATAACTCCATGCATCTTATCAGACCACCATGCCTTAAAATTAGAATTCAACAACAATACAAATTGCAGAAAACCTACAAACTCATGGAAATTGAATAATGCTCAACTGCACCATCCCTGGGTCAAAGAGGAAATAAAAAAGAAATTAAAGACTTCCTCGAATTCAATGAGAATGAAGACACAACATACCCAAACCTATGGGACACTTTGAAAGCAGTGCTACGGGGAAGTTCATAGCACTAAGTGCTCACATGAAGAAACAGGAAAACAGTTATACCAGAGAATTAACATCACAGCTAAAAGCTCTAGAACACAAAGAAGCAAACTCCCCCAGGAGGAGTAGACGCCAGGAAATAATCAAATTGAGGGCTGAAATCAACAAACTAGAAACCAGGAAAACAATACAAAGAATCAATGCAACGAAGAGTTGGTTCTTTGAGAAAATCAACAAGATAGACAAACCTTTGTCCAAACTTACCAAACAGCAGAGAGTGAACACGCAAATTAACAAAATCAGAAATGAAAAGGGGGACATAACAACAGACTCTGAGGAAATCCAGAGAATCATTAGGTCATACTTTGAAAACCTGTACTCCACAAAATTCGAAAATTTAAAGGAAATGGATGACTTCCTGGACAGCTATCATTTGCCAAAACTAAATCAAGAACAGATAAGCAATTTAAATAGACCTATAACCCCTATGGAAATAGAAGCTGTCATCAAAAGTCTCCCAACCAAAAAAAGTCCAGGTCCAGATGGGCTCAGTGCAGAATTCTACCACAAATTCAAAGAACAGCTTATACCAATTCTTCTCAAAGTGTTCCACACAATAGAAGCAGAAGGGTCTTTGCCAAACTCTTTCTATGAGGCTTCAATAACCTTGATCCCCAAGCCACACAAAGATACAACCAAGAAAGAGAACTTCAGACCAATATCCCTCATGAACATTGATGCAAAAATACTCAATAAAATACTGGCAAATCGGATCCAAGAACACATCAAAACAATCATTCACCACGATCAAGTAGGTTTCATCCCAGGGATGCAGGGATGGTTCAACATACGAAAATCCATCAACGTAATCCACCATATAAACAAGCTGAAAAACAAAAATCACATGATCATCTCACTAGATGCTGAAAAAGCCTTTGACAAAATCCAACACCCCTTCATGATAAAGGTCTTGGAGAGATCTGGGATAACAGGGACATACTTAAACATAATAAAAGCCATATACAGTAAACCAACAGCCAACATCAAACTAAATGGACAGAAACTCAACGCAATTCCTCTAAAATCAGGAACAAAACAAGGCTGTCCACTCTCTCCATACCTTTTCAACATGGTACTTGAAGTTCTAGCTATAGCCATACGACAACAAAGGGGGATCAAGGGGATACAAATTGGGAAGGAAGAAGTCAAACTTTCACTGTTTGCAGACGATATGATAGTTTACATCAATGACCCAAAGAACTCTACCAGGGAACTCTTACAGCTGATTAACACCTTCAGCAAAGTGGCAGGTTACAAGATCAACTCAAGAAAGTCAGTAGCCCTACTATATACAGATGATAAAAGGGCTGAAAGAGAAATCAGAGAAACATCACCCTTTACAATTGCCACAAACAACATAAAATACCTTGGGGTAACGCTAACCAAACAAGTGAAAGACCTGTATCGTAAGAACTTTGAATCTTTAAAGAAAGAAATTAAAGAAACCCTCAGAAAATGGAAAGATCTCCCATGCTCTTGGATAGGTAGGATCAATGTAGTAAAAATGGCAATCCTGCCAAAAGCAATCTACAGATTCAATGCTATCCCCATTAAAATCCCAGCACAATTCTTCACAGACCTTGAAAGAACAATAATCAATTTTGTATGGAAAAACAAAAGACCCAGGATAGCCAAAACAACCCTGTTCAACAAGGCAACGTCCGGAGGCATCACTATCCCTGACCTCAAGCTCTATTATAGAGCTATAGTCCTGAAAACAGCTTGGTATTGGCACAAAAATAGACAGGCAGACCAATGGAATCGAATAGAAAATCCGGGTATTAACCCACACACGTACGAACATCTGATCTTTGACAAAGAAGCTAAAAATATACAATGGAATAAAGAAAGCATCTTCAACAAATGGTGCTGGCATAATTGGAGACTGGCATGTAGAAAAATGCGGATCGATCCATGTTTATCGCCATGCACAAAACTTAAGTCCAAATGGATCAAAGACCTCAACATAAATCCAGCCACACTGAACCTCTTAGAAGAGAAAGTGGGTGGTACCCTTGAAAGAATTGGTACAGGAGACAGCTTCCTGAACATAACACCAGTAGCACAGACAGTGAGATCAACAATTAATAAATGGGACCTACTGAAACTGAGAAGCTTCTGTAAGGCAAAGGACACAGTCAGCAAGACAAAAAGGCAGCCCACAGAATGGGAAAAAATATTCACTAATCCCACATCTGACAGAGGGTTGATCTCCAAAATTTACAAAGAACTCAAGAAGCAAGTCTCCAAAACAGCAAAGGACCCAATTAAGAAGTGGGCTGCAGAACTAAATAGAGAGTTTTCAATAGAGGAGTCTAAAATGGCTGAGAGGCACTTGAGAAAGTGCTCAACATCCTTAGCCATCCGGGAAATGCAAATCAAAGCAACTCTGAGATACCATCTCACTCCTGTCAGAATGGCTAAAATCAAAAACACCAATGACAATTTATGCTGGAGAGGATGTGGTGAAAGGGGGACACTCCTCCATTGCTGGTGGGAGTGCCAACTGGTTCAGCCACTTTGGAAAGCAGTATGGAGATTCCTCAGAAAAATGGGAATAAACCTACCACAAGACCCAGCAACTCCACTCTTAGGCATATATCCAAAAGATGCCCATTCATATAACAAAGATGTCTGTTCCACTATGTTCATAGCAGCTTTATTTGTAATAGCCAGAACTTGGAAGCAACCTAGATGTCCCTCACCCGAAGAATGGATAGAGAAAATGTGGTACATCTACACAATGGAGTACTATTCAGCAGAAAAAAATAATGGAATCATGAGATTCGCAGGCAAATGGATGACACTAGAAGAAACCATCCTGAGTGAGGTAACCCAGTCACAAAAAGAGAAACATGGCATGTACTCTCTCATATATGGATTTTAGACATAGATCTGGGGAGTGCCAGCCTACAATCCTATTGCCAGAGAGTCTGGGAAACAGAAACTTCATTTACTGGCTGGTTAAGTACTGAGCTGAACTCAAGAAAGCCAGTATCAGAGAGGGAGGACTGATGATCAAAGGGATTAAGACTGGGCTGGTTGAACCCCCAGAAACAGCTGACCAGACAAAGGTTAACTCTTGAATCCCAGGCATCAGCCTGGGAATCCAGCATGGGACTGATCAAGACCCCCTGAATCTGGGTGTCAGTGAGGAGGCCTAGGTAATCTATTGAGCCTTGGACAGCAGATCGGTACCCATCCCAAGTATACACACGGTCTCTGGACTCCCATAGAACAATGTGAGGTGCACTCTCACCCTGAACTCTTGGGGAAGGGTCTAGGCCCTGCCCTATATGAAATGACAGACTATGGACACCCCCACGGAGGGCCTCACCCTCCCTGGGGGAATGAGGGGATAACGGGGGGGGGGGCCGATGGGGGGGAGGGCACGGGAGGAGGGGAGGGAAAGGGAGAGGGACCTCGTACTGACTTGTGAAGCAACCTTGTTTCTTATCTAAATTTAAAATGGAAAATAAAAAAATATTAATAAAAAAAAGAAAAAAAAACAAGTTTGGGGTGGGATTAGGGTCAGCATCACTTCTGGGAGCCAAGTCCTGAGCATGTGGGAGAAGTGACCAGATGCTCCCTGTGCACATCCCATTGTGCCTTCAAGCACGGAGCACAGAGTCCTCTGCCCAGCACCAGGTCAACTTCCAGCCAGCATTGGTAGCTCAGAGATCCACAGGGTGTGGAGTCCCCATCCATGCCTGCTCCACAGGTGCCTCCAGATCAGAGTCACCCGAGGGGCATGCTGTACTGGGAGGCCAGGGGAGGGGTTCAAAGGGATGAGAGGTCTTTAGAAGGACAATCTGTAAGGTCAGCATCAGAGGCAAAAGGGGGCAAGAAAGTCACAGCTGTACCCAGGAAGGGAGGAGGCTCAGGACACAGGCAGCCAGGCTCACAGGAGCAGATCATGTGAAGTTCAGGGTTAAGATGAGCAGGAGGCACTGCTAGACTGGAGACCTGGGGAACAAGCAGAGAATTAGATGCATAAAATCTTCACTCATGTTGCAAGGGACAGGAGCCTGAAGGGCTATCAACACCTACAGAGGACCAAGGAGACACTGCTTAGTGAATCCCTTCAGAAATGGATGCTGGACCCAAAGACTGTGCTCCAGCCCTGCCCCATGGACCATTCACACCTCAGGCAGGTAGAGCTGCTACCAAGCTGGGGGAGATGCCCAGTGTAGGTTCTCTTGGGCCAATACCACACAGCACTCCAGTGTGATTAAACTGGAGAGACAAGGTCACTAGGTTCTAGTCCCATCATTGCTATTCCAGGGCTCTGTGGTCTCGGGCCCTGCAATCTGATACCCAGAGCCTGTTTCCTTAGCTGTGACATGGTGCACTGGACACATGCAATTGTTTCCAAGGCTGAGGGTGACAATGCTTTCTCTGGGGTCAGCTCACAACACTTATATCCAAAGGAGAAGGGTGACAGGTGGCCACACAAGGAAGCCCCGGGAGAGCCACCAGCACTCTCTGCCTATACAGAGAGAAAGACTTCTGGTGCCATCTTACCAGGTTGGTTTTCCATCATTATGACCAGGTGTTCTCTGTCTCCAATCTGAAGAAGAGATAACAGCCATCAGGATCCTGGGTGACACATATCTAGCCATCTCTAAGACAATGACCATTCAGACTTGAGACAGCACAGAGGGGAAGGGGGCAGAAGGAGATATGGTGTGAGGATTCTATAGCCAGAGGGAATCGTTACTTCCACAGCTGCCCCGTTGTGCACAGATACCCACACATCCTCACTCTCCATCCTGTCCCTGTCTGTTGTATTGACAGGCTCCTGAAGTAGAGAGTTCACCAACAGAATTAACTTTAAGAACGCCCTGAAACTCAACTAATTCACTAGGGCCCTCCCTGCCAAAGGAAGCAGAGCCAAGGGGCAAAGACTTACACAAGAGAAGCCACCCAGTCAACCAGAAACCAGACAAGCTGCCTGGAAGGGGTTTAGCCCAAGTAAGGCACAGGCTGTGCAGTGTGTTCCAGGGTCCCAGCTTTTGTGAGCTGGGTGTCCTTTGGTGATACACCTGTCTTCGAGTCATTTCTACACCTGTAAGTAATCCCTCACCAATACCAATATTCCTATAATAACTCCAATAAAACTCATTGCTTCACCAATAAACTTGGTGGTATCTTTACTTTGGTCTATTGTGGGTTCCCTACCTGTGATGAGGAGATGAGTATACTTTGTCTTCTCAGGAAACATTTTGTCACACAACAAACCTCCCAAAAGGACCCCAAAAATAAATGTGACCTTAGAGCCCTTAAAGGAAGATTTGAATGAAGGAGAGGTGAGAATCTCCCTGGGGAGAGCTGTTCCTGCCCCTCATCAGCTGCAGCTCTCAGGGGAGTGTCCCCTCTGCCACCCCTGGACAACACAGTAGCGCTGGCCCTAGGTGCAGCCTTGGGAGATCTGAACTTGAGAAATAAACCTGGACAGTAGGCCCTGCCATTGGCTCGTCTCTGAAAGGGGTTAACTAACCAGGGAAATCCTGGAGAGCTCAGCCTATAGGTGAGGACAAGGGAAGCCTGGCAGGCTGAGCAACCCTACCATCACCCAGACCAGAACCAGAGGTACGAGCTAGTTAATCCCAACATCCATTCCATCTGGGATCTGTGGGAGCACTTGAAGGGAGCAAACTGAAGACTCAAAGCTGCAGGATTTCCACTACATAGGACACAAGCAGGATAACCAAGAGGAGTTCCAGTGAGATCCATGCATGAACAGTGTAGGAGAAACCAAAGGCCTTGAGTCAGACAATGACTCTTTGCAATGAACCCTTGCAAGTAAACATATATGGATAAGAGTGTTTACTGAATGACTCCCTGTGTCACTCTGCAGTTTCCTTGATGAGGCTTTCCCCCCCTATGCCCCGCACCTCTTCCCCAAGGCTCCCAATCACAAAGATCCCACTGTCCATGGTGAGCCCTCCTTTTCCTGCCCTCTGCCCCGAACATTCAGAGTCCTCTTGGTCCCTGGTTTGGATTTCAGCCAAGTAGTTGCTACCTATCCTAAGCAGCACAGTTTGGAGTAGTTGTTACAGTCTGTTTGCCCAGCATCAGCCTGGCTTCCCCATTCACATTTTCCCCATGGTCAGAACCAGGATCCGGTCAAGATCTACTCACAAACACTGCTCCCATGGTAAGACCTACTATTCCAGGATAAGATGGTCTACAAGCAAATCTGCAATCCGCACTTTCTCCATCATCACTGGGCACACCCTGCCCTTGAGAATGATGACCTCTGCGTCACCAGACAGGAGCTTTCACTTCTTTCTCTGGTGAGAGGAGATGAAGGTGACAGAGCTGGATGCATTCTGTGTGGCTGGAGGAACATCCTGGGTTAAGTGTACTTACCCCAGCCATTCCTGCTTCCCTGGGCTGTAACAGACAGAGAGTGTGCCTCTAGAACACTCTTAAATTTTCCAATTTCAAGTGATTTAGAAAACCCAGCCCTTCAGGGTCTGTGATGGCTGCTCCACGAGCAAGTCCAATTTTATCGAGCAAAAGCCTGGAGATTTAAATAGAAGACAAGATGTCTGGCTGTTTGTGCTAAGAGAATGCCCATGTGTGTCTTTATTGCAAGCAGGGGGCAGTCTTATATACAGATTTAATGCACAATGGAGAAACCCCAGGTGAAGAGGCTGAGTTTTCCTCGTGTTAGATGCTTATGTCAGTGGGGCAAGTCCGGGTTGTAAGCCAGGACTAGAGAACAGGATGCACCTGTAGTTATCAGCTGACAAGCAATGCACAGAGATCTGTGGAGACCATGGCCCAACAAGGGTCCTGCCAAAAACAGGGACTCTTAATGTCTTATCATTAACTATCCCACATTCTTTCCTGCAGCCTTCTGTTAAAGCCCTGGTGTCCTCTATAATTGTACCCCCCTGAACATTCCCTAGCTCTGCTCATCTCCAATGCTAAGCATGGCTGAGATTGTTTTATACATGGATGGGGTGCATCCCAGTGGTGGATGGGTTTCTACTGCCTGGACGTAGCCAGGCTGTGTATATTTCCTGCTTCCCCCTTGTAACAAAAGCTGCTCCCTGTGTTGGTTGTCTGTGGTCTGCTGATGTGCAGTCCTGCACCAACATTGGAGAGCTCATGTCTGTGGAGGACAGCTACTCCAATACCCTTGACAGAGCATGCTCCTTCTGTATCAGGGGTCCTCAGCCTTCCTAATACTGCACTCCTCATGTTGTGGTGACTCCCCAACCATAAAATCATTTCCATTGCTATTTCATACCTGTATATTTAGTACCATTATGAATCAATTATAAAAATCTGCTGTGCAGAATATCTACCATGTGAGGCAGTGAAAGGTTGAGTCCTCCTGAATGGGACTCAAGCCACAGGTTGAGAACCACTGTTCTGTGTATACTGAGGAAGAAGCTTCTAGAAGGATCAGCATGGACTCTTAAGAGATGGAGGAGATATGTGCTGCTACCCAATCACATTAGACAACCCAATGTTGACAGAGTCTCACTATGTAGTCCCAGTTGCCTGGAACTCTCTCTGTAGCCCAGGCTGGCCTTGAACTCACAGAAATCCATCTGCCTATACCTCCCAAGTGCTAACAGGAAAGGAGTGCCAACATACTGTAAATTCCTCTGAGACATCTTTAGAGCTGAGCCACCATAAGGAAATGGAGAGCAAAATAAACACAGGTGACTTCTTAAAGTGGGACTGAGAATTGACCATGGTGGAAACGTGATCAGCCAGGTGTCTGTGCATGGACAGTTGATTGCAGAGTAGACTCATGAGATGGAGACTTCCCTCAGCCTGTGGTCTACCTTAATGGTGAAATGTCCTTCATGTGCTCATGTGAGCACACTCAGCCTGCAGTGCAGTTTTACAAGGCTGTGCAACCATTAGGAGGCAAAAAGCCCAGTACAAAAGGGGTTTGCTAGATGTCAGAATGCCTTGAGGTGTCAGAGCCCAGACTTCCTCTGCTCTGACTACTCTCTGTTTGCTCCCTGATCCACCAAAATTGAACAGCAACCTCACGTTCCTGCCACCACACAGCCATGCACCACCATGCCTTCTCACTGTGTTGGATTTCATTTCCTCCAACAATGAGTCTGAATAATGTTGTCTTTCCTGTTTCTTGTCATATATTTGGTTAAGTGATGAGTTAATAGTGAGACTGGATCTCACATCTCTGTCATTAGCAGTGTTACCTTAACACTGGTATAGGGCCAGCATCTTCCCTGTTTGGTTCAGTAAGAAAGAAGATATGGAAGGTGCTTGTACACATTGCCAGTCAGGGTCTTTAGCATAGACTAATCTTTATGTCCATGTGGTGCATGTTGGACTCAGTGTTCTCCTACCTTCATTTGTGAGTCCCATCCCTGTGTTTCCAGCCTCTCCTGTGCCTTGCTACCCAGACCTGTAGCAGCCTCTGGCTGAGGCACTGACTGCTGTGAATAACTCCATCATATCCCAGAATTCTCCTCTGCCCTCAAGCTCTTCCCACCCAGAATTCTCTCACCCTTTCTCAACACACACTTCTCACATTGATTTCTGGGTCAGATCATGTAGGTAGAACTGGTTTTGTTGTATTTTGATGTATTTATACATTACTTTGGAATATATTTCCATATTTCCTTAAAGGTTTGAAAAAGTATCTCAAGCTATTACACTAAATCCATGGGTTAGCTTCTTTGTTATAATCCATGTTGCTTTGATACATGAAGAAGCTGAGATATAACAGTGATCTGCAAACTCACAGGACTAGTGTGCAACACAGCCTGCCTTTGCATTTAAGACTTGCTTGTGAGCCCTTACTGATGGGGGAAGTCCTGTGTATATGTCAATAAAGCACTGTTGGCCAATAGGGAACCAAAATAGGTGGGACTAGGAGTCCAGGAGGACTCTGGGAAGGAGAAACACAGGAAGTCAAGATGTAACGCCATGGGGTAGGAAGTCCAGAAACCTCTCCGGTAAGAGAAATGCTTAGATTAGCAATTATGGGATAAATGCTTAAGTCAGAGCTAGCCAGTAAGAAACAAGCAAGGCCAACAGCTTCATAATTAATATAGCCTCCTGTGTGTTCATTTGGGACTGATGCAGCTCTGGAACCAGGCAGGCGGGAAGGCTTCTCTTTACACCTTACTAATGTTTTTAAATCTGCTTCACAGAGCATTTTAAGTGACTTTCCATTTGCTTTCTTTTTGATTCTATACAATGAAACTTGGGTGTTAACACCTTGAAGTATTATAAACATTTACCTTGCTGGGTTCCCTTGTAAGTTCAATGGAATTTGAGGTTATTTTCCTCACATAAAGCTCATGGCCTCCACTCTGTAGTAGAGGGTTTTTTTGTACAAATAGCAAACCTTATTGTTATTGTTCCTCAATATAACTCTCAAACCTAACCTTCAGGGAAAATGTGGTGATATATTATTTATGATTTATTAAAGCTTACCTAAGGATTCTGAAAGTAAAGCCAGCCTCAAGCTATGGAGATCAGACAGTGGTGATATACACCTTAAATCCCAGCATCCATAGAGCTAGGAGGTGATGTTATCCACCTTTAATCCTAGGACTCAGAATTAAGAGGTAGAAGGAACTGTGTGAGTCCAAGGTCACCCAGAACTTCACCAAATTGATCCAGTCCTAAAGAAAAGCAGCTCATACAAAGATGATCTCAGAACCTGGGATCACACACCTTTATCCCCGCACTTGAGGTGTATAAAAGTTAGGAGCAGGGTCTTCAGTAGTCAGTATCAGGATTCCTTTCCAGTGACATCAACAATAGAAAGACATTGGTATTAAAGTCTCAGGATTCTCCAGCCAGGCTGAGGAGAGGCAGCTGTCGGAGGTTTACTGGAGCCAGGGTCATCTTTCAGCCTGAGGTAGAGTGAGAGCTCGTGCCCAGCTGCTTTGCTTTTCTGATCTTCACCTTGAAGCTTGAACACCAATGTAAGTCTCTGGGTCTGTTATTTTTCATGAACAAGGGAAGTGGCCCTTCGATGCCTGTCTCTATCCTCTGATCATTTTCCTCCTTGACTGGATTCATCTCACTGGGAGAATGAGGCACACCTCTGGGGTGATTATAAGGATATAAGTTTTTTGGGTGGAACACCAATGTAGGGATGCCATCGTGTGTGCTGTGACAAGAAGTCTGAGTAAAAGAGTGGGGAAAAGAGAGCAGCTGTGACTTCTTTCTCCACTCCAAGAATAAACAGGCTGTGAACTGAAGTGATCTCACCTGCCCCACACGAGCCAAAACAACTTCTTACTCATTTGTGAGCCACTTCCACCAGACATTTTGGTCACAGAGAGAACTAATGCAGGCATCCAATTCTGTCCCAGCTCTGCCTTTGCTAGGTCTTATTTATTGTAGCAGATGCCGTTCTCTTTAACTTATGCCTAGGTTTGTTCCTTTACGATAGACAGTGTCAACCCTGTTTTCTCCAAGTCAGGCTTGAATGCACTTCTCCCCCACGTGTATCTGCGTTCCAGTTTGTTTTAAAGAAATATTTAGTAGTACCACACACCAAGACTGGGTAACACCATCACATCAACAGGGCATCCAGGTAGTAGGAGCCTGCAGCAAGGGAAATGCATTGTTTCATGGAGGACCAGAAAGCAAAGATGTGGGATGCTGGATACCAGCAGGCTTCCTATGTTGTCTCATCACCCCAAGTGTTCCTGCCCAGAACAAGGGTAAGCATGCCTAGGTCTCACACCTGCCTTCTCCCTGTGTTCCTTTCTCCACTGGTATGAGCTGCTGCTCTGTTTTCTGTCCTCAGAGAATCCCCAGAGTCATTGTGAACTTGAGTCCTACTGCTGGTTTCACAGCCTGCTGATTTTTTGATGTTTGGGGCTTTTCCTTCCCAAGATCATAAACATATTTTTCTATATTTTCTACAAATACTTTAATTAAAAAAACAAGCTCTCACCTAGTCAGTGGGGCTCGTTTCTTGAATCTCAGCACTCAGGAAGCAAGAGCAGGCAGATCTCTGTTAGTTCAAGGTCAAACTGCTCTACAGAACAGAACAGTCATGACTACACAGAAAAAGCCAGTCTTGAAACACACACACACACACACACACACACACACACTCAAGGCCTCATGTATCCCAGGATGGTTTTGAACTTACTGCAGACCCAAGGATAACCTTAAACTTGTGATTCTCTGACCTCCACATCTCATGTGCTAAGATTCTAGCAAGTGCTCACACAGCTGGTTTGAACTCTGATCATGCAAAACTGAGGGATCGACTTTGAGCACTGTGTATGCTAAGTCAGCTTGTGACCAACTGAGCTAAAGGCCCAACCCTATAGGGTCTTTCTAGATTCACTGTGTAAAGTTACAGCTTCCATCTGCTGACACTTTCTTCCTGTGAATAGTGTCAGAGGGAGTGCCTTTCTTTCCTGTGGATCAGCTGAAGGAAGGACATGTTCACAGTACCTGTCCCCTGTCCCCTCTGTCCTGTTCCCTTGCATTTTGGGGTCTTCATGTGCAAGGACACTTTGTCCCCCTGGCCTGTAGTGAATTAGTGTGGCTCCTGTGTTGACTCTGTCAGTCACTGACCACTCTCCCTCCCTCCATGTAAGCCACAGCTTCTTATCCTATGCCCAGCACAGCTTCACCCAGCTCCCACAAGCCTCCCTGTTAGACCTTCCCCAGGTACCCTGATGCTGAAATGCACAAGGAACCATCCTCCAGTGAGGAAATGTCCTGAAGAGGATACACAGTGCTCCTGTAATGTTTGGGGGTCAACTTCCACTTTATCCTTTAGAACCCAGATAAGGACAGACCAAGCCAGCACAGAATTTAAGTACAAGCAGTAAGTTTAATTAGTTAAAAACAAGTTTGGGGTGGGTTTAGGGTCAGCATCACTTCTGGGAACCAAGTCCTGAGCATGTGGGAGAAGTGACCAGATGCCCCTGTGCACATCCCATTGTGCCTTCAAGCATGGAGCACAGAGTCCTCTGCCCAGTACCAGGTCAACTTCCAGCCAGCATTGGTAGCTCAGAAAACCACAGGGTGTGGAGTCCCCATCCATGCCTGCTCCACAGGTGCCTCCAGATCAGAGTCACCCGAGGGGCATGCTGTACTGGGAGGCCAGGGGAGGGGTTCAAAGGGATGAGAGGTCTTTAGAAGGACAATCTGTATGGTCAGCATCAGAGGCAAAAGAAGACAAGAAAGTCACAGCTGTACCCCGGAAGGGAGAAGGCTCAGGACACAGACAGCCAGGCTCACAGCAGATCATGTGAAGTTCAGGGCTGAGTCGAGCAGGCAGGACTGTTAACTGGAAACATGTGGAACAAACAGAGAATCAGATGCATAAAATCCTCACTCAGGGTGTGTAGGGCAGGGGCCTTACGATCTCCCAACACCTAGCAGATCAAGGAGAGACTGCTTGATGAATCCCTGCAGAGCTGGGAGCTGGACCCAAAGGCTGTGCTCCAGCCAGTCCAGCTCCAGCCCTGCCCCTGGAGCACTCTCTCCTCAGACAGGTAGAGCTGCTGCCAAGGTGGGGAAGATGCCCAGGGTAGATTCTCTTGGGCCAATACCACACAGCACTCCAGTGTGATTAAACTGGAGAGACAAGGTCACTAGGTTCTAGTGACATCACTGCTATTACAGGGCTCTGTTGTCTCAGGACCTGCATTCCAATACCCAGAGTCTGTTTCCTTAGCTGTGGCATGGAGTACTGGACACATGGAATTGTTTCCAGGACTGAGGGTGACTCTGTGCTTACTGTGGGGTCAGCTCACAGCAAGTATATCTAAAGGAGAAGGGTTACAGGTGGTCACACAAGGAAAGCCCAGGGAGAGTCGCCAGAACTCTCTTCCTACACAGAGAGAAAGCCTTCTGGTGCCTGTCTTACCGAGTTCAGTCTCCATCTCTAGGATCAGGTGCTCTGTGTCCCCCAGCTGCAAGAGAGGAACAGCCTTCAGGATCCTGGGTGACACACATCTAGCCATCTCTAAGACAATGACCATTCTGACTGGCACCATCACTAAGAGGAAAGGGGAAGAGGAGGATCTGGTGTGGGAATTCTATAGCCAGAGGGAAGCATTACTTCCACAGATGTCCCACTAGACACAGATACCACATGTGTTCACAGATACATTCTCTCTCTCATCCTGTCCCCCCTCTGTCGTATTATTAGCCTCCTGAAGTAGAGAGGTCAACAGCAAAAATATCTTCAAGAACTCCCTGAAACTCAAAAGATTCACTAGTTCCCTCCCTGCCAGAGAAAGCAGGGCCAAGCAGCAAAGCCTCTCACAAGAAAAGCAACCCAGCCAAGCAGAAACCGGCCAAGCTGCCTGGAAGGGGTTTGGCCCACTTGAGGCACCTGAAAAGGACACTCTCCACCCTGCTGAGCTGCCAGCTCCAGGGTCCCAGCTTTTGTGAGCCTTTCCTCACTCATACTGTGTATGCTTTGGTGATGCAGCTGCCTTTGAGTTTTTCTGTTCATACAAGTGATCTCGACCTCATCCATATTCCTATAAGTGACTCCAATAAATTTATTAGTTCACCAAGATGAATTTGGTGATATCTGCACTTTGGTCTCTTGTGTGTTCCCTATTTGCAATGAGGAGATGAGTATGTGTTTTCTTCTCAGGAAAAATCTTGTAACACAACAACACTCCTCAAATCGTCTATGAAAAAAAGACCCTGTTAGAGCCATTGAAGGACAATTGGATGAAGGAGAGGAGAGAATCTCCCTGGGAGAGCTGTTCTGCCCCTCATCAGCTGCAGCTCTCAGGGGAGTGTCCCCTCTGCCACCCCTGGACAACACTGTAGAGCTGGCCCTAGGTGCAGCCTTGGGAGATCTGACCCTGAAAAATTAAACCAGGACATCTGGCCCCGCCCCTTGCTCATCACTGCAAGGGGTGACCTAGCCAGGGCAATGCTGGAGAGCTCAGCCTATGGGTGGGGACAAGGGAGAGCCGGCAGGCTAAGCAACCCTGACACTACCCAGGCCCAGATCCAGGGTTACTTGCTGGTCCTCCCCAACATCACCACCATCTGTGACCTGCCAGAGCACTTGAAGGGAACAAACTTGCAGACTCAAAGCTGCAGGATTTCCACTACACAAGGCACCAGCAGGATAACGAGGAGGAGTTCCAGTTTCAGACAAGCATGGAGAGTGTAGCAGAAAGCAAATGCCTCGAACCAGACAATGAGTCTCTGCAATGAACACTTGCAAGTAAACATATATGGATATAAAGATTTACTGCATGACTACAGCTTCCATGATGAGACTAATTTTTACGTATTCCCCTATTTCCTTGTCTTCTTTTTCTCTTAAATTATTTTTATTTTATTTTTGGGGAGGGGTGGCATGCAGAGGATGCATAGTAGGGACAGGGAAGTGAAGGGGATGGAGATGTATGCTGTGAGGGACAAAGGATAAATGAAGGACAGGAAAATACTTCCTGGGGTGAGAGAGGATGAGAAGCATTTGCATCTGACACCCACCTGCTGCAGCTTCCACTGGGAGGCAGCACACACTTACCCTGTAATGGTTCACTAATTTCCACATCCTTGAGTCTGTCCCACTGTATGAAAACACAGAATGTCTCTGCAGCATCCTGGGGAGATATGGCATAATTGAGAAGAAGTGGGGCAGGAGTTCCTTGCAGCATTCGCCCACCTGCCACAAAGTGACCATGATAGAGGTTCCAGGCTGAAGGGAGTAGAGGGGAGAGGCACATTAGTGACAGGTACCTTTAGTCATGCCTGGGTGCTGGAATAGCTGTTTTGCTGCAGTGATCAAAAAGAGAGGTTCCAACAGCCATAAACACAGCCTTGTCTCCACCACCTGTGTCTTCCCAGGGCCTGGGATGTCTGCTGCTCTTCTGCCTGGTCTGACCCTGACCTCCCTCTGCCCATCCCTGCTCATCCCCAGCTTCTCCCACACAGTAGCCACAGTCTCCAGACACACAGCACCTTTCACGGATGCTGGATTGGACCCTTGGTCTCAGCCATTTCCAGAGTTTTTAATATTCTCCTTTGAAAAGAGTGACGGATTCTGGAGAGATTACTCTATAGGTTAAGTGTACTAGCTGCACAGACATGAGGACCTGAATCTCCAACATCCATGTAAAATCCATAGTCATCCATGTGCCAGGGCTGTGGAAAGCCAAGATGGGAGGACCACTGGGGTTTCCTGACTGCAGTCTAGCTCCAGATTTGCAGAAACGTACTGTCTGGGGACATAAGGTAGAGAGAGACAGAGCAAGCCACCTGAACATTCAACAATCACAACACACACACACACACACACACACACACACACACACACACACACACACCAGGAACCAGGGCCCAGTGCAATGGTTTTACCAAAATACATGCAATGTGGTATTGATGGTGAGCTTCACGTGCCTTTAGTAAATGCAAAACAGAAACCTTAGCCAGTACAGAAAGCTACAAAGTGACAAAGTTGCTATAGCCTGCCATGGTGGTGCATGCCTTAATTCCCAGCACTCAGGAGACAGCGAGGGTCTATTCTGAGTTCAAGATCAGCTTTATCTACATAGTGAGTTCCAGGACAGTCAAGAAGGGTTTTGAGAATTTATGAGACAGTTAGTTGTGAGTATGAGAGTTGTGAAAGTATGTGAGCACGTGAGAGCATGAGTTTGCATGCACAAGTGTTAGAGTGAGAGTGTGTGTGTGATGTGAGATGGTGATTGCGGTGTGAGTGTGTCTGTGTGTGTTTAAATGTAACAATGGAAAGGATTTCTTGGTATACTAACCAAGACACACACACAAACACACACACACAGAGAGAGAGAGAGAGAGAGAGAGAGAGAGAGAGAGAGAGAGAGAGAGAGAGAGAGAAATAGAAGGAGAGAATAAAGTAAAAAGGAAGGGAGAGAAGAACACTGCTGGACCTGTTGTTGCCACCTGGAATCCCAAAGGACCCAAGAGGCTGTGGCAGAGGAACAGAAGTGTCAGTCCAGCGTGAACTACAAAGCAAGTTCAAGTGCCACTCCACGAGGAACTCCAGTGGATGTGTCCCTTAGCAACAGCTTTGCCTGTGGTCTCAGGTTGATTCTTTTACAGGAGCCATCAGATTCTCCTCTCCCCCTTTTGTCCAAGAAGCTGTTCTGGAAGCTGCATCTGCCCCTTTAGGCACACGTGGATCCAACAGCTACTTTAACCCAGAAGCAGGATGCTGGGAGATATGTGGCTCTAATGAATATATTGACTGCACAAACTTTCTCATGGAAGCTGTCTCATTTACATCTGGAATAACAGAATCTACTCTGGGCTTTTTTTTTAACTAAAAGATTTGGTCCAAAATCATTCCATATTTTATTTGGTGTAGGCTTAAAGAAAAGCACACATCTACTTGAAGATTTTTATTTTTAGGGTATTATAGATGAATTCTCCCCTTGTTAGATCCAACCTGGGACAAACTGAGGTTCAATAACATATCACAGTTGGCCCCAGATGACGGGGAAAAGGATGAAAAAGGAAGGACATGACTGCTCCTAGGTATGGAGGAGGAGAAGGTTTATTGTAGATAAAAGGGAGAGCACAGGCAGAGATGGAGACATCTGGGTGAGTTTGGAGTGAACATGACTGTGAGCCTGGCTAAGTGGGGGGGGGGGAGAAGAGGACCAAGCGGGGTGGCCTGGGCCAAGAGACTGGCATGGCGAAAATGGCTGAGTTATAAAGGGAAGAACCATAGGAGTTGGGGTGGGTTGGGAAAGTTGGGAGGCTCATACCTTGGGTGGGACAGTTCAGAGTAGAGGATAGGGTAAGCCTGCCAGACCATGTAACAAGTAGGGACTGAGGGATACTGGGAAAACTTGGTTGTCAGAGACCACTTTGATATGTTAATGGATACCTCAGCCAGTACCTGGAGGAGGACACATAGTATCTGCCACACCTACACAAGGGCTTTGCCATCCCAGCAGTCTTGGGGAGCAGTTTTGATACCTAGAAGTGCTTTTCCTGCAGCATCACAGAGTAGTATAGACTTCTGGGTTCCATTGTGGTCTAAAGATACATCTTAGAGCAGTTTTTAAGGTATTATCTACACGAACACACATACACACTAGCACAGCAAGACTACCCACAAGGCCAGGCAGGATGCAGCCTCCCTGGAGCCCCTAAACTCACCCTGTCATGAGTTGGATGGTCGGAGGTAAATAACAGGCTTACAACCATCCAGAGTCTCCGATTCTCATCCCTGTAGTAACCAGGTATTTCCCTGGTAAGAGTGACTGGGGGTAGCAAGGAAGCAGCAGCCATAGTGAGGAGCCCAAGGAGCTGGTGGTTTCCTTAACAAGCAGTCCTGCAGAGCCAGTATGGAGAACTAACCACAGGTTGCAGCAGGGGCCAGGACAAAAAGGCATGAGAAACCCAGTTCTTCTACAGCTGGGCCAGGAGCCCAAATCCCTAGAAACAGCTGCCCGGCTTCACCAGGTGCCCTGCGTCCTCAGGCTAGCCCTCTACAGGGCTCTCTGTGGACCCTGGCCAGACCCCCAGGGATTGTTGTCCTCACCACCTCTCCAACACGTTTCCACCAGGAAACTTGCTGAACCCCCTGGATCTAAGACAGTGATCTTCAACCTTCTGAATGTTGTGACCCTATAATGTAAGTTGCTCATGTTGTGGTGTATCCACAACCATAAAATTATACTGTAGCTACTTCAAACTGTATTTTTTTACTGTTGTAAATTGTCATGTAAATGCTTTGGGAAATGCATGTTGGGAAGATGATGGAGAACCACAGATTTAGAACCGAGGTTTTAGGGGTTATCTGAGGAAGACACACCTGGGCTAAATTTCTTCTGGGAAGCAAGCCCACAAACCTCAGATGTTTGTGTTCAAGATAATGTAAAACGTGACTGACTCTGCCAAGGGCAGCTGGGGCTTCTGACTAACATTGCCTTTGACCTGGAGTGTGACCACACAAGGGGCCATCTCCTCAGCCCATCTCCTCACTTTTCTGAGGCCACAGCAGGGCAGTCACAAAGCAGCCCTGTGAGGACAGCACCTGTGCCCTGAAGACTGGCTCTGTGTGTCCTTTTCCTTTTTAGAGCCTCAGACCAGATTCTTTTCATCCAACCCAGATCATGGGGAACACCTGTGCCTGTCAGCATTTCCCTCCCTCCTCCCCTTCCTTTATCCCTTCCTTCCGTTCTTTTTCTCTCAGAAGGGTCTCATGCAGCCCAAGTTGTCCTCAGACCCAATTGTAGTTGAGGATGACACTGAATTTCTGGTCCCCCTGCCACAGCTCTTCTAGTGCTGGGATTAGATCACCATGCACTGTTCTCTGCAGGGCCAGAGATCCATCCCAGAGCTTAGCACAGGCTAGCCCAGCATTCTACCACCTGAGACCCCTTGCCCCATGGAAGGTATTTCTAGCTTGTTTTATATTAGCTTGCCAGATCCTAAAGTCATCTGAAAGGAGGGACACTCAATTAAGAAAATAACTCTATAAGGTTCGGCTGTAGGGAAAACTGCAGTGGATTTTCTTAATTATGGATTCATGAGGAGTGGGACCAGTCAGGGGCAGGTTACCTGGGTTCCATAAAAAGTATAGGGACCAAGTCATGAAGATTTAGCCAGTAGGCATCACCCCTCCAAGGACTCTGCTTCAGTTCCTGATTCCAGTTTCCTGCCTAGAGCTCCACCGTGACTTGCTCAGCAATGGAGTGTGCCCTGTAAGCCCTTTCCTGCCTCAAGTGGCTTTGGGGAGTCTTTTTGTGACATCCGTGTAAAGCAATTGGGGACAGTCCCTGAGCCAGAGAGAACCTTCAGTGGCACAGCCTTCACAGTGGACACTCACCATCTGCCATCTTGAGTCTGGCTGGCCCACTGCAGGTTTGGACTTGCTCTATCATCCTGTGCCAACTCCAATCTCAAATCCTCCTGCAGACACACATGTCCCATTGGTTCTGTTTCTCTGGAGTATGCTGACTATTGAAGTTAGCCTCTACCCTGGACATTTCCAAATAAAATTAGAGTTGTCACACAACCACTTTATCCCAGCCACAAAGTGTGATAGGATTCTGATTTGCATAATCAGAATATCTGAGTTTATGTGAAAGAATTAAGAAGTCCCCCATGTTAGAACTGACACTCCACATGTCTCTCTTGGTGTTAGACTGTCTTTCATATTATTCTGTGGTTTTCTGTTGTCTAGTTTTAGGTTTTTAGAGTCAGGCCCTTTAAATGTTACAATTTAAAATTCTGTGTTATGTGTGCTTGCTGGCAAGATGGATGTGGTCTGAATGAGAATGGTGCACAAAGGCTTGTGCCTTTGATGTTGAAATGGACCAGCAACCAAACTCACAGTGACAAAATCCGGGAGATGTCACACAGTGCTCCTGTAATGTTTGGGGGTCAACTTCCACTTTATGATTTAGAACCCAGATAAAGACAGACCAGGCCAGCACAGAACTTAAAAGTAGTAAGTTTAATTAGTTAAAAACAAGTTTGGGGCAGGCATTAGGGTCAGCATCACTTCTGGGAGCCAAGTCCTGAGCACGTGGGAGAAGTGACCAGATGCTCCCTGTGCACATCCCATTGTGCCTTCAAGCACGGAGCACAGCATCCTCTGCCCAGCACCAGGTCAACTTCCAGCCAGCATTGGTAGCTCACAGATCCACAGGGCATGGAGTCCCCATCCATACCTGCTCCACAGGCGCCTCCAGATCAGAGTCACCTGAGGGGCATGCTGTACTGGGAGTCCAGGGGAGGGGTTCACATGGATGAGAGGTCTTTAGAAGAATGGTCTGTGAGGTCATCATCAGAGGCAAAAGGAGACAAGAAAGCCAGTCTGTACCCAGGAGTGGAGGAGGCTCAGGACATAGCCAGCCAGGCTCACGTAAGCAGATCATCTAAAGTTACGGGCTGAGTGACACAGGAGGCACTGCCAGACTGGAGACCTGGGGAACAAGCAGAGAAGGAGGGGCACAAAATCTCCATTGAGGGTGCAACCTGAAGGGCTGTCATGGCATAGAGGGGACCAAGGAGAGACTGCTTAGTGAATCCCCACAGAACTGAGTGCTGGACCCAAAGGCTATGCTCCAGCCAGTCCAGCTCCAGCCCTGCCCCTGGACCACTCTCTCCTCAGACAGGTAGAGCTGCTGCCAACCTAGGAGAGATGCCCAGTATAGGTCCTCTTGGGCCAATAGCACACAGCACTCCAGTGTGATTAAACTGGAGAGACAAGGTCACTAGGTTCTAGTCCCATCACTGCTATTACAGGGCTCTGTTGTCTCAGGGCATTGATACCCAGAGTCTGTTTATGTAGCTGTGACATGGAGCACTGGACACATGGAATGGTTTCCAGGACTGAGGGTGACTCTGTGCTTACTGTGGGCTCAGCTCACAGCACTTATACCCAAAGAAGAGTGACAGGTGCCCACACAAGGAAAGCTCAGGGAGAGCCACCAGCACTGCATCCCAATAAAAGGGAAAGCCTTCTGGTGCCCATCTTACCGGATTGGGTTTCCATCATTAATGTCAGCTGTTCTCTGCCTTCAGTCTGCAGGAGAGAGAACAGCCATCAGGATCCTGGGTGACACACATCTAGCCATCTCTAAGACAATGACCATTCAGACTTGAGGCAGCACATAGGGGAAAGGGTCAGAAGGGGATCTGGGGTGAAGATTCTAGAGTCAGCGGGAAGCGTTACTTTGACAGCTGCCCCACTGTGCACAGATACCCACAGGTATTCAAGGATTCATTCTCTCTCTCCATCCTGTCCCTGCTCTGCATTAGTAGCCTCATCAAGTAGAGAGGTCAACAGCAAGTATATCTTCAAGAACTTCCTGAAACTAAACAGATTCACTGGGCCCTAAGCAGAGCCAAGCAGCAAAGACTCTGACATGACAGAAGCCACCCAGCCAAGCAGAAACCAACCACTCTGCCTGGGAGGGGTTTAGCCCATCTGAGGCACCTGGAAAGGACACTCTCCAACCTGCTGAGCTGCCAGCAGGCTGTGCAGTGTGCTCCAGGGTCCCAGCTTTTGTGAGTCTTCTGTCAGCCATGATGGGTGTCCTTTGGTGATGCAGCTGTCTTTGAGTCATTTCTACTCCCATAAGTGATCCCACACCCTCACCCACATTCCTATAAGTAACCCCAATAAAGCTCATTGCTTCACCAATTTAAACTTGTTGGTTATCTGTACTTTGGTCTGTTTTGAGTTCCCTACCTGGGGTGAGGAGATGAGCATGTTTCCTCTTCTCAAGAAAAATTTTGTCATACAACAACCCTCCCCCAAAATGTCCGCAAAAAAGACAGACCCCATTAGAGCCCTTGAAGAAAGAGTGAATGATGGAGAGGTGAGAATCTCCCTGGGAGAGCTGTTCCTTCCCCTCATCAGCTGATGCTCTCAGGAGAGTGTCCCCTCTGCCACCCCAGGATAACACTGTAGAGCTGGAGAGCTGGCCCTAGGTGAAGCCTTGAGAGATCTGACCCTGAGAAATTAAACCAGCACAACCTAGCCAGGGCAATGCTGGAGAGCTCAGCCCATGGGTGAGGACAAGGGAGAGCCGGCAGGCTGAGCAACCCTAGCATTGGATCCCAGACCACACAGAGCTCTGACAGCCACAGGTGTATCCTGTTCTCTAGTCCTCCCGGACAGCCCAGCCTCGCCCCCTGACAACATCCAGCACGAGGAAAACACAGACTCTGACACCTCGGTGGGCAGCACTGTGCTGTTAGCCTGTATATAAGGCTGTTCCCTCCTTGCAATAAAGTTGAACACAGGCATTGTCTTAGCACAAACAGCTGGATTTCTCATCTTTTATTTAAATCTCCAGGATTTTGCTTGATACACTGGATTTGCTCGAGGCTCAGGCGCCATACCCTACTGCTACCCAGACCCAGAACCTGGGTTATGAGCTGGGTCACCCCACCGTCCCCACCATCTGGGATCTGCTGCAGCATTGAAGACTCAAAGATGCAGGATTTCCACTACACAGGACACCAGCAGGATAACTAAGAGGAGTCCCAGTGGGATCCCAGCAAGAACAGCAGAAACCAAAGGTCTTGAACCAGACCAATGAGTCTCTGCAATGCAAGCAAGCATATATGAATAAGAGTGTTTACTGCATGACTCCCTGTGTCACTCTACAGCTTCCATGATGAGGCTTATGTTTCCTTATCCTCCCCTTTTCTTCTGTTTTCTCTTCAATTGTATTTTATTTCAGGGGAGGGGTAGCTTGCAGAGGATGGATAAGTAGGGACAGGGAAGTGAAGGGGATGGAGATGTATGATGTGAGGGACAAAGAATAAATGAAGGACAGGAAAATACTTCCTGGGGGTGGGAGAGGATGAGAAGCATTTGCATCTGACACCCACCTGCTGCAGCTTTCACTGGGAGGCACCACACACTTACCTTGTAATGGGCCATTATTATCCAGAACTTTGAGTCTGTCTCACGGTATGAAAACTCAGAATCTTTCTGCCACTCACTGGGGAGACACGCCAAACTTGAGAAGAATTGGGAGAGGAATTCTGCGCAGCATTTGTCCATCTGACACAACCTGACAGTGACAGAGACTCGGTGCTGAGGGGAGTAGAGGGAAGAGGCACATTAGGGACAGATACCTTTAGTCATGCGCTAACTGTTATATGCAAAGGTCTAGATGAGAGGTTCAAACAGCCATAAACACAGCCTTGTGTCCACCACCTCTGTCTTCCCAGGACCTGGGATGTCTGCTGCTCTTCTGCCTGGTCTGACCCTGACCTCCCTCTGCCCATCCCTGCTCATCCCCAGCTTCTCCCACACAGTAGCCACAGTCTCCAGACACACAGCACCTTTCACGGATGCTGGATTGCATGCTGGGGCTCTGTCTCAGCCATTTCCAGAGTTTTAAAAATTCTCCTTTGAAAATTAATACATTATGGGAGATGGCTCCACAGGTTAAGTGTACTTGCAGCACAAACATGAGGAACTAAGTGTGAAGCTCCAACTCCCATGTAAAAAAGCCACAGTCATACATGTGCAGGGCTGTGGAAAGCCGAGATGGGAGGACCACGGGGGTTTCCTGACTACAGTCTAGCTCCAGACCTGGTGAAAGATGCAGTCTTGGGAAGTAAGGTATAAAGTGACAGAGCAAGTCCTCTGAACATTCAACAAGCCCAACACACATGGGAGCACACACACACACACACACACACACACACACACACACACACACGCGCGCACACACACGCGCGCGCACACACACACACACACGCTCAAACACGCTCACACACACACGGACACACACGCTCACATACACACGCTCACACACACACACACACACACACACACACACACACACACACACACGGCCTGGGGCGATGGCTTTATCAAAAGACATGCAGTGTAGTGTTGATGGAGAGCTTCATGTGCCTTTAATATGCAAAACAGAAACCTTAGCCAGCACAGAAAGTCACAAAGTGAAAAAGTGGCCATAGCCAGGCATGATGTTGCCTGCCTTTAATCCCGTCACTCAGGAGAGAGAGGCAGGCTGATCTGAATTCAGGTCAGCCTTGTATAGATTGTGGAGTTTCAGGACAGCCAGGACTGCTAAACAGAGAAACCCTGTCTTGAAAACCCAAGGAAAGTTAGACCACAGTGCAGAGAGCATGTCCCAGACTCCCTACTGTGTCCTCCTGTCTTCCTGTGAATTCCTGCATTTCTCTTCACCTGTCACACTGTGGAAGGTCACTGTCCTGGTTGTGGTCCTTACAATTTTTGAGAGTCTGTCCCCCTGTGGGTATTCTGACTTTAGGTTGGGAGGGAAGGGAGATAGCTAAGAAGGGACAGGGACCCACATTTTCGGGCCACCTGCTTTTGTAGTAAATGACTTTTTACTTGAAACTCCCATTGTCTCTGAATGCTTTGTACCAAGGTGGACCAGTGAGTGTTCCTAAGTCCTCAGAGCCTGCAAAATGAGCAGCTTTGTTTCCAGTATTTAGAGCCTGCAAAATGAAAAGCTTCCCTCTATGGCCTCTGATTGACAAAAACCTCTTGATCCTTGCTGAGATCACACTGGGAAGGTCCTGTCCAAGCCTGCAACTGTATCATGGAAATCACACACACATAGTGACACTCACACAAACTGACACACAATATTAACACACAGTCACACACTAACACTCTCTCTCATACACACACCTCTCTCTCTCTCTCTCACACACACACACACACACACACATTCTCTCCTACAATGTAACAGACCGACTTGTGAGAATGTGTGAGAGGGTTAGTTGTGAGTTTGAGCTTCTGAGAGTATGTTAGTGTGTGAGAGCTCGATTGTGTGTGTGTGTGTGTGTGAGAGAGGGGGGGGAGGATCTCTGTGTGTGTAAACCTGGCTTTCCTAGAACTGACTAACTGGGCCAATGTGGCCTTGAACTTAGAGATCTGCCTGCTTCTGCAGTGTGAGTGAGTGTGTGTGTGTGTGTGTGTGTGTGTGTGTGTGTAAATGTAACAATGCAGACCATTTCTTGGTATACTAACCAAGAGAGACACAGAGAAAGAGAGACAAAGAGAAGGAGGAAATAAAGGCAGAAGGAAATGAGGAGAAAAGAGAGAAGAACACTGCTGGGCCTTTTGTTGCAACCTGGAATCCCAAAGGACTTAAGAGGCTGTGGCAGGAGGAGCACAAGTCTCACTCCCTCCTGGTCTACAAGCGAGTTCAAGTGCTACTCCATGGGGCACTCTGGTGGATGTGTCCCTTAGCAACAGATTTGCCTGGGGGCATTAGGCTAATCCTTTTACAGAAGCCATCAGATTCTCCTCATCCCCTTTTTAACTCAATTGCCCAAGAAGCTGTTCTGCAAGCTGCATCTGCCCCTCTAGGCACACGTGGATCCAACAGCTACTTTAACACAAGGCTGCCCAGAAGCAGGATGCTTGGAGACATGTGACTCTAATGAATTCAGTAACTGCACAAACTATCTTTTGGAAGTTGTCTCAGTTACATCGGCACTAACAGAATACCTTTCTGAGCTTTATTTTTCTTAACTGAAAAATATTTGATGCTAAAACTGTCCCTATTTTATTTGGTGTAGATTAAAGGAAAACACATATCTACTTGAAGATTTTATTTTTATGCTGCTATAGATGAATTAACCCCTTGTTAGGTTTCCAAACTGGGACAAACTGAGGTTCAACAACATATCAAAGTTGGTCCCATATGAAGGGGAGGGAATGAAAAAGGAAGGACATGACTGCTCCTAGGTATGGAGTAGGAGAAGGTTTAATGTAGATAAAAGGGAGAGCACAGCCAGAGATGGAGACATCTGGGTGAGTTTGGAGTGAACATGACTGTGAGCCTGGCCATGTGAGGAGAGGAGAGGGGAGAGAAGTTGGCAACCAAGTGGGGTGGCCTGGGCCAAGAGACTGGCACAGACAAAACAGCTGGGCTTTAAAGGGAAGGGCCAGAGGAGGTGGGGTGTGGTGGGGATGTTGGGAGACTCAACCTTGAAGTGGACAGTACAGGGTAGAGCAAGTTAAGCTGCCATACCCTGAAGCCTGTAGAGAATGAAGGATGCTGGCAGAATCTGGTGGCCAGAGTCCACTTTCCTATATTAATGGGCACCTCAGCAATTTGTCCCACATGTAGGACCAAATACCCCTCAGGCAGGTACCTGGCAGAGGACACTTGGTATCTGCCACACCTACACTAGGGCTTTGCCTTCAAGTGACATCCATGGTACTTGGGGAGCAGTTTTGATACCTAGAAATGCTTTCCTTACAGCATCACAGAGTAGTATAGACTAGAGGGATCCATTGTAGTCTAAAGCCACAGCCTATAGCAATTGTCAGGGTGATATCTACCTGAACACATACACCCTAGCACAGAAGACTACCCACAAGTTCAAGATGCAGCTTGCCTGGAGCCCCCAAACTCACCATGTCATCAGCTAGATGGTCTGTTCTAAATAACAGGTTTGCAACTATCCAGAGTCTCTGGTTCTCATCCTTGTAGTGACCAGGTATTTCCCTGGTAAGAGTGACTGGAAGTAGCCATACTGAGGAGACCAAGGGGCTGTTGGTTTCCTTAAAATACAGTGCAGGGACAGAGGGAGAACTAACCCGCAGTTGCAGCAGGGGCCAGGAAAAAAGGTGTGAGAAACCCAGTTCTTCTACAGCTGGGCCAGGAGCACAAATCCCTAGCAACAGCTGTGAGCTTCACCAGGTGCCCTGCGTCCTCAGGCTAGCCCTCTACAGCGTTCTCTGTGGACCCTGCCCAGACCCCCAGGGAGTGTTGTCCTGTCCACCTTTCCAACTCGTTTCCCTCAGGAAACTAGCTGAAGCCCCTGGATCTAGGACAGTGGCCCTCAGCCTACCTGATGCTGTGACTTTTCAATACCTCATATTGTGGTAGCAAAAGCCATAAAGTTATTTCTGTAGCTATATCACAACTGTGATTTTGCTATTGTTGGAATTGTCATATAAACACTTTGGGCGACAGAGGTTTCCAAGACTGTCTGCACCGACAAATTCAAAACTGAATCCTTGGGGATTATCTGAGGAAGACACACCAGGGCTAAGTTTCTTCTGGAATCGAAGCCCATGCCCCTCAGATGTTTGTGAACACAATCATGCAAAATGTGACTGACTCTGGCAAAGGCAGCTGGGGCTTCGGCTTCTGGATAGCCTTGCCCTTGGTCTGGAGTGTGACCACCCAAGCAGCCATCTGGTCTGCTTTTCTGAGGGCACAGCAGGGCAGTCACAAAGCAGCCCTGTGAGGGCAGCACCTGTGCCCTGAAAACCAGCTGTGTGTCCTTTTCCTTTTTGAGGACCTCAGACCAGATTCTTCTCATCCCACCCAGATCTTGGGGGAACACCTGTGTCTGTCAGCATTTCCCTCCCTCCTCCCCTGCCTCTCATCCTTCCTTCCTTCCTTTTTCTCTCAGAATAGTCTCATGTAGCCCAGGTTGTCCTCAGACCCAGTTGTAGTTGAGGATGACCCTGGATTCCTGGTCCTCCTGCCTCAGCTCCTCTAGGGCTGGGATTACATCACCATGCACAGTTCTCGGTGGGGCTGGAGTTCCAACCCAGAGCTTAGCACAGACTAGCCCAGCATTTCACCACCTGAGACCCCTAGCTGCTTGGAGACACCTAGCACCATGGAGGCACTTCCTGCTTGTCTTATGACAACTTGACAGAGCCTACAGTCATCTGAAAGTCAATTAAGAAAGTGACTCCATAAGATTGGGTTGTAGGGCTGGAGAGATGGCTCAGTCATTAAGGGCTAGGCTCACAACCAAAACTATGAGATTGGGCTGTAGGCAAGCTTGTAGTGCATTTTCTTAATTGGTGACTGATGGGTGAGGGGAGAGCTCAGCCCATGTAGATCGGGCCAGCTATGGAATGGTGATCCTGGGTTCTATAAGAAAGTATAGTGACCAAGTCATGAAGATGTAGCCAGTAAGCAGCACCCTCTATGGCCTGTGCTCCAGCTCCTGCTTTGACCATGCTTGAGGGCCATTCCTGATTTTCTTCAGTGATGGACTACAATGTGGGAATGTAAGACAAGTAAATCTCCCCATCTTGCTTCTGGTCAAGGCATTTCATCACAGTAATAGTGACCCTAAGACACTAGGTACTGCATCTTTAGACTAGATACTGCAGACCCCATTTCACAGATGAAGAAACTGAGGCATGGATGGTGTGGCCTGAGTGAGGTTGGTGGCAGTGGGATCCTGTGACTCACCTATTCTTGGCTCTGACGCTTTGCTGCCAATCTTAGCTGAGCCCCTAGAATTACTGGGTCACAGGTAGAGGCTGAGAATGTATCTCTGGAAGGAATGATGTTCATGGAAGGTGGTCCTTTTGTCCTCTATCTAGTCATTGTCCCCACCATGGCTGACAGGAGGTAATGTATCCTGGCCAACCGGCCCCTCTCTGCTACCTGGCATGGAGAGATGTTGAGATGCAGCCCTCTGTCCATGGTGCTGCTCTTCCCCAGACATGAGCTCTGCCCCGCAATGCTGACCTCTCCCTGCAGAGGGAGCCCTTCCCAAGCCCCAGGAACTGAGTACAGGTGCATCAGCTGGGGTGCAGGTGATCCCAGTCCACAGACAGGGCGCACTGTGTCAGCCTTGGCAGACGAAGAGAAAAGGACTGTGCTGTTGGCACACCTTGCTCTGACACTCCCAGATACTGGGCCAGAACCATGGGATAGATGTGAGGTAGAGAGCCTATCTCGAAGGGGCCTGGTTGGAACTGCGATTGAGGTATTGACCTCAAACGAACAGGCAAGGAGGGAACTCAAGGTATTTAGAGACAACACAATGATGGAGTGTCCTCAGGCTCCCGTGACAAAAGCTCAGACAGTGACTTCCTGCGCGTTCTCAGGGTAAGGAAATGCTAAACCAAGCAGAATGAGGGGCAAGGTGAGCTTGTTAATGCCCAAGTGACCTGGACCACACTTGAGGAACGTGAGGAACGGACACACTGACAGGGAGTCTTGGTCACCTAATCAGATGATTCAGCCTGGGAAAGGACTGGCTGAAGACAGGCCAGAGAACACTGCAGAAGAGACTCCCCGTTCCATTTGCTTAGTTCAGGGATCAGCCCAAGCCAGCAGGAAGATGGAAAAAACTCAGCCTGACCCAAAAACCCAGAAGACGTGGGCACTAATTGCCTTCACTGGGGCAATAAAGATGTGCCCTCGAAGCTAAGTTTTCTGTTTTTGCATTTATTAAAGGCACATGAAGCTCAATGTCAACACCACATTGCATTTCTTTTGGTAAAGCCATAGTCCTGGGACTGTGTGTGTGTGTGTGTGTGTGTGTGTGTGTGTGTGTGTGTGTGTGTGTGTGTGTTATGCCTATTCAATGTTCAGGTGACTTGCTCTCTCTCTCTCTCTCTCTCTCTCTCTCTCTCTCTCTCTCTCTCTTATACCCTTGAGACAGCATCTTTCACCAAATCTGGAGCTAGACTGCAGTCAGGAAACCTTAGTGGTCCTCCCATCTCAGCTTTCCACAGCCCTGGCACATGGATGACTGCAGCTTTTATATGGGTGTTTGAGATTCACACTTAGGTCCTAATGTCTGTGCAGCTAGTACACTTAAGCAATGGGGTCATCTCCCCAGTATATTATTTTTCAAAGGAGAATTTTTAAAGCAGTAGAAATAGCTGAGACCCAGGGCCGAATCCAGCATCCGTGAAAGGTGCTGTGTGTCTGGAGACTGTGGCTACTGTGTGGGAGAATCTGGGGATGAGCAGGGATGGGCAGAGGGTAGGACAGGGTCAGACCAGGCAGAAGAGCAGCAGACATCCCAGGCCCTGGGGAAGGCACAGATGTTGGAGACAAGACTGTAGTGAGGGCTTTGGGAACATAAACCTCTGATCTTGACCTTACAGCAAAACTTACCCAGGCCCAAGTATGACTAACAGGATCTGTTCCTAATGTACCTCTCCCCTCTATACCTTTCAGCCTGGGACTCCCTCATTATCAGGATGCAGCAGGTGAGCAAAGTCTCCCAGGAGGCCCTGTCCAACGTATCCCCATGTTTGGCTTATATCCCCACGAAGTGGGTGCAGTATTCTCTGATATTATACCTGGGGTCAGACAACCGGTTCTGGAAATTAGTGGACCACATCCAGGTAAGTGTTTGACACTTCACAGTGAAGGTGTGGCAGAGGGGACACTCCCCTGAGAGCAGCAGCTGATGAGGGGCAGGGACAGCTCTCCCAGGGAGATTCTCTTCTCTCCTTCATTCACTCTTCATTCAAGGGTGCTAACAACATCATTTTTAGTGGAGGATTTGTGTCTAGTAGGGCAGCGATGGAAGTACTGCTCCTCTCTGGCTCTAGAATCCACACCCCATGTCCCCTTCAGCCCCCTTCCGTTCTGTGTTGCCTCAAGTCTGAATGGTCATTGTCTTAGAGTTGGCTAGATGTGTGTCACCCAGGATCCTGATGGCTGTTCCCTCTCCTGCAGATTGGAGGCAGAGAACAATTGGACCTGAAGCTGGACTTCAGTGAAGGTAAGATGGCCACCAGAAGGCTTTCCCTCTTTATTGGGAGGCAGTGCTGATGGCTCTCCCTGGGCTTTCCTTGTGTGGTCACCTGTCACCCTTCTCCTTTGGATATAAGTACTGTGAGCTGACCCCACAGAGTCACACTCAGTCCTGGAAACAATTCCATGTATTCAGTGCTCCATGTCACAGCTAAGCAAACAGACTCAGGGTATTGGAAAGTGAGTCCTGAGACAACAGAGCCCTGTAACAGCAGTGATGGGACTAGAACCTAGTGACCTTGTCTCTCCAGTTTAATCACACTGGAGTGCTGGGTGGTATTGGCCCAAGAGAATTTACACTGGGCATCTTGCCCAGCTTGGAAGCAGCTCTACCTGTCTGAGGAGAGAGTGGTCCAGGGGCAGGGCTGGAGCTGGACTGGCTGGAGCACAGTCTTTGGGTCCAGCACCCAGTTCTGCAGGGATTCACTAAGCAGTGTCTCCTTGGTCCTCTCTAGGTATTGGTAGCCCTTCAGGTTCCTGTTCCTTGAGCCCTCAGTGGAGATTTTGTGCAGCTACTGCTCTGCTTGTTCCCCAGGTCTCCAGTCTAGCAGTGCCTCCTGCTGGACTCAGGTCCCAGCTTCAGACGATCCGTTTCTGTGAGCCTGGCTGCCTGTGTCCTGAGCCTCCTCCCTTCCTGGGTACAGCTGTGACTCTCTTGCCCCCTTTTGCCTCTGATGCTGATCTTACAGATTGTCCTTCTAAAGACCTCTCATCCCTTTGAACCCCTCTCCTGGGCTCCCAGTAGAGCATGCCCCTCAGGTGACTCTGATCTGGAGGCCCTGTGGAGCAGGTATGGATGGGGACTCCATGCCCTGTGGATCTCTGAGCTACCAATGCTGGTTGGAAGTTGACCTGGTGCTGGGCAGAGGACTCTGTGCTCACTGCTTGAAGGCACAATGGGATGTGCACAGGGGCATCTGGTCACTTCTCCCACGTGCTCAGGACTTGGCTCCCAGAAGTGATGCTGACCCTAATGCCTGCCCCAAACTTG